TTTTTTGCTGGCATGGGCCGTCGCAGATAGTTGTTGTGTTGTTGGCAGTCGCCCCGTGAAAAACTCGCTCGAGAGATGAAGTGATTCCCGAAGTGAGGTCGGTCGAACCAGGCCGGCCAGGCATGCTCTTTGTTCAGCCGTATGCAACATCTTGACGATTAGCTCAACAGCTTCAATAGGTGAGAGTAAGTGCGACGGTCTTTGTGTTGAACCAGGAGTAGGAGGATCTCCTCCTTGTCTGGCGAGTATTCTCGCGCGATACATTAATGCGGCGATATCGTGTTTAACGTAACGTTAACGTTTCTCTTCTTCGTTGGAGGAGTCGTGCGGTGGGTGCCCTGTCCGCTCGCAGCCGCCTCGATTCAAACACCCCCCGTATAGACTAGGGAAGACTTTTTGAGCCACCTTTGGCACAAAGTAGGACAGAGCGATTGGCCATCGGTGATCGGTCCTGTGGGAACAATGCTCCGTCCTCTCGAGGACGCGTGGTCAAACGATCTAACCGCTAAGGCATGCAAAACGGAAGAGTACCCCCACCCCCCACCCCCCACCCCCACCCCCGTGATGTTTCGATGACCCCACCGGTGGCGGCAACAGTAGCACTCTTTGCGCTTGTAAATTAGCTCCTTCCGTGCCTGTGGAAAACAATCGACGGACGTCCGATGTTGGTCATGGCCATCCACCTCGTTTTTGGCCAGAATTGCACCGGCATGTGTTGGCGCCGTTGCCGGAACCACGTAGAGACGGTGGCGTGGCATGTTCGGTACCGTTTTGGGACGCAAAAGTACTCCATTTGGTTGGATGCAAGTTTTCTCCTTTGGGGGCTAGGTCGACCAAGAACTTTTCTCACTATTGTAGTTGGAACGGACTTGGACCCTTGAATTGGAGGGCTTTCGCGGAAGGTAACCGTGAAGAAGCGGCTTTGGGCTAAACAGAGCTTTCGGGTGCTGGTCGTGGTGAGAACTACGATTATTATATTGTAGCCGGCCAGTTTGGCGCTGATACGTTGTGGAAGCGAGCATATGCTGCAACATGAGCTTGTTTCTTCCTCGCGCACATGATGAGATGCTGTACAGTAGTTCGGGAAGTGATTATTTTTTGGGGGCTTTGGCCGTGCGTGTGCACACGCCCTTCAGGCACAAGCATCGTTTGTTTTTGACGGGTTGTCGTGTTGAGCGTGTGCGGAAGACCTTGCTTGGAAGTGTGCATAGGATACTGTACAAGTGTGCGGCCACTGTGCAAGGAAGTGCCAGGGTCACGGCAAGTCGGGGGCACTGCAGATAGGGCGGGAATCGTGCGGCAGCTTTTGGGTGGGTTGGTTCATACGTCTCCCTCCGCACGAGGGACCCGGTGGAGATTATTGCCAGCGGCATGCCCCCCGAGACGCTCGTGTGCTCGACGAGTAGCATTGTTCGCTAGGACTTGACCCACTCATGAGAATTAACGATTCTGATGCATGTGCCTGCCAAGGTGTAGCTAGCCTCCG